GAAATGAAAGGAAGAAAAAAGTTACTGTAAAGACAAATATGTCCTCCCTGCCTGCCATGGCATCAACTTTCATAACAAACAGCAAAACATTAAAAGATTTAAATGTCAGGAAAATGAGAACTCAGTGGCAAGGTCAGTTTATACTTCAGTAAAAAAAAAAATTTCATTTGAAAGTTTTCTCTTGATTCGCAGAATACATGTCTATGCTCTGATGCTGGTTTGCTGTTTTACACAAAGTGTGCCAGCCATGGTTTTCTCACAAGAGGTCAAAACACTTCAAGTTAAAAGCAAGAAGTTCATTTTATACAAATAAAAGAAGTACACTGATTTAACCTCTTTATGGTTGTCATTTTTACAAAAAGAAAAAAGAAATGAAATCAAAATTTTCCACTGACACCACTTTCAATTAATTCAATTTCACCCTCAATTCACATGTAAATCCTACAATATAAAATATGTGAATACAATGTTCTGTCAAGAATACGTTATTGGCTCGATCATGGAAACATTCTTATGGTAAATGTCACACTTAGGATTTCCAAGGAAGTCTCTGGCTTATGTAGAAATCTCAAGTCAGGATCTGAAATGTAATTATATGTAATTATATATAAGGCTATCTGTGGGTATGTCTGTATTGTATTCGAACAGCCCGGAGCACATTACACCCACTCAAGACGACTGTGACATTTCGACTGGATGTGCAACAGCGTGAGTCAGGAATGCTTTAAAGAGTCCTGTCAGATCAAATCAACTAATAACTGCCGAATGCTAAATTCCTTACAAGTTACCTGGAAAGTTGTCAGGTTTTCATAAGAAAGTTCATCTGGCTCAGTTCCAAGGTGGGAGAAGTCTTCACACTCAGCCTGTGAGTCTTAAGGGCTGTGCTGCTTTCACACAGAAACTGATGATATATATTTAACTGCACTTTCTGTAAGTTTGTTTTTTTATGAAGCAGAATTAACCCAATTTATATCATAAACCAGGAGCAGACATGCAATGGTTCAGAGGATGAAGAAACTCTCTGTTCTGCTGTGGAGGACATCAGCCTGAGTCCACGGCCTTCAGCTTCTGCCTGCGTGCGGGTCAGGGTGTGGATGGAGTCAAACAGACCAACTAACAATATTTTATGTCAAAAGTATAAAAAAAATGAGATCAGAGTTATTACTTCTTCAGCCTGTTTTTGTTTTCGTGCTTAAGGACATGGACGTTTTATGTTGGGAAAACTTGAACTTGAATGAATTTAGTCTGCAGCGTGCCGATCTCTCTCCCTCTGACCAATGAGTCATAGGAGCCTTGATAGTAAAAGATTAATTCAGGTGGGAATCCTCGCGGTTCACCTGCCTGCAGAAGCAGCAGGTGGGCCATCTGTCGGCACTCCATGATCACGTGATCGCTGTGCTGTGAACCACACTTCACAAAACCAACAGACTGAGGCATTTAGAAGAAACTAAGAGCCAGATCAGCAGAACTACAGCACACGGAAATGTCTGCTGTAACTGTCACCCTGCTGCACTTTGATGCTTGTCTTTCTTAAAGAAATCTGACTTTTTACCTGCAAAAAGGCAGCAGGGTGAGTACACACAGTGGTGAATAAAAACGTGTGTTTTGTAGTTTGTCTTCTGCACTCTAGTTCCAACATGGTGTCACACTGTTACGGTGGTGGTATTCTGAGAGCACCGCTCTTCTCTTTTCCTGAGTCCTTATGAATTCTACAAGCCACCTTTGACCTCGATTAAAATGTCACTGAGCTCAAGAAAAAGAGGTTAGGAAAACTGAATTATTGAAGTTTATGGAAAAATTAATTTCGTAGGGCACTAAAAGAACACTAAAATGATCAATTTAATGTTTCTTGTCAAAATGTAAACATAAGTCTTTCTAAAATTCCTGAATAAACTAGATAGATTAAATAGAGATTAAAACATGTGCTGCATTCCTCTGACTTTTTGGCCCTTTGTTTACTGATTTTCCTAGAAGTGCTATGAATTTTGGGTAATTCTCTTGGACAACATCAACAGAAATGCACGCCAACAGAAAATGTGCATAAACAGCTCAATGAGTCTGTCATCGGGCAGTTAAGATGTGACAGCAGGACGACCCTGATCAGAGGCTGAGGGTGATCATGTCTCTCTAAGTCAGAGTTCAAACCTGTTTATTTCTGCTTCACATCTGCACTCCTCAAACTCCACCATCTTTCCTGCTAAAGGAGTGAAACTGCTGACCTCATCATCCAGTGTTTAGTTACATGGAGATTCCAACAGATTCCAAGAGAAAAGTGTTGGATTCTAAATACTTAGTGTTGTTTACACCTGTTTTATAGCTGCAGGTGTTTACATCACACTGCACACCTGTTCATTATAGATTGTTTGTGTAATGATCCTAGATCAGATAAGAGTTGCATCAACTGTGTCTAAAAGGTCAACAGAGCATTTTGTCTTTATCTACACATGTATATACTTGATGTACCTGTCACGGTCTGGGGGGCAGACCGTGGGGGATGTTGGAGAAAGGACCCAAACCCTGGACTTAGTGGAATGAACAGTGGGTTTATTTACAGTGAGGTAAATATACACCACACATTAAATCTCCAAAAGTGCTCCCTCGACTCCCGTGACGTGTCTTCTCCCAATCTCACCTGCAAGACACACCCCGTGTGTCTTGCAGTCCTGTGTTCCACTCTCCTGAGGAAAAACACAGACACAGCCGTGATGGCACCAACTCCAGCAGGCATACACTGACCAGCACTATAAAGACTGACATGGAGTCTAACTCAACGATCCTGCGCCGGAGGAAGCTCCATCGCTCTGTTAAGTAGCTCCCCCGACGATCCTGATCAGAAGCAGGTGTGTGGGAAGCTAGGCCTGACCAGCAGCTGGCCGGGCCACTCCCATCAGGCCTGCAGGTGGCTGTCCTTCATCCTCCAGCCACACACACACACACACACCAGCATGGAACACAAGAGCACAGTGCAGCAAACACACATCCAATACACTAATAACAATAAAGGTCCACACTGTTCACGAACCCCGAGTCCCCGGAACCAGGTCCGTGACAGTACCATGGTGTGCCTGAAGTATTTATGTCATGAATCCCAGTCATTGTGTAAGATTCTGGATCAGAAATAAACTGATAGAATTGTTTCAGAGCCATTACAAAACATATACCAAACAACATATTATATCCTCCCCGTTACCTGTATACAGGAGTGTCAGTCAAGGAAGCTGCACAGGACTGGAAACCTGAGACGAGGGAACACTAAGCAGACGTTTTCCGTTTGCTTTCATTCAATATATTGAATTAAATCTATCCCAAAAAAGTCAATGTGAATTGTTACCTCAGATTTATTGGGTAAATTCTATAGATTACTTCTCCACAGTGTACTTAGACCTTCAGTTATGTTTTCTTTTCTCATTATTCATCACAATTTAACATTTAAAAAGTTTTAACAGATCTAATTTTATTTTCTTCTTCTCTATTATAAAAAATGTGTATGTATTTAAGAATGTTACCTGTGTGAGAGGCAGTGTGAGTAAAGATCCAACAGGTGGCAGCAGAGAAGTTAACTCATCCTCCACCAAAACAATGTTTACACTTGTTTTTTTATGTGTAATGTGTTTACCTATGTGGTATAAGTACTTATAGACTGTAGTATAGTACTGTAGAACTAATATTTTTATAAAAGACAAATATTACCAGTGTTCTAAGTATATTTATGACTTTGGTTGTACCTGCATTAACTCAGTCCTTTTTGGCCACTTAAAAATAC